TCCACTTATGAGTAAGTACATCCCATGTTTGTCTTTCTGGGTCTAGGTTACCTCACTCAGAATGATTTTTTCTAGTTTCATCCGTTCGCCTGCAAATTTCATGAGGTCACTATTTTTTTTTTTTACAGCTGAGTAATACTCCATTGTGTATATGTACCACATTTTCCTTATCCATTCTTCAATTGTGGGGCATCTGGGTTGTTTCCTGGTTCTGGCTCTTATGAATAATGCTACTATGAACATAGTCAAGCAAATGTCCTTGTGGTATGCTTGAGCATCCTTTGGGTATACACCCAAGATTGGTATGCCCGATATTAGTATAGCTAGGTCTTGAGGTAGATTGATTCCCAATTTTCTAAGAAACTACCATACTGATTTCCAAAGTGGCTGTACAAGTATGCATTCCCACAAGCAGTAGAGAAGTGTTCATTTCACTCCACATCCTCTCCAACATAAGCTGCCATCAGTGTTTGTGATCTTAGCCATTCTGACAAGTGTAAGATGGTATCTCAGAGTGGTTTTGATTTGCATTTCCCTGATGACTAAGGATGTTGAGCAATTCCTTAAATGTCTTTTGGCCATTTGAGATTCTTCTGTTGAGAACTCTCTGTTTAGATCTGTACCCCATTTTAAAATTGGTTTATTTGGTATTTTGGTGTCTAGTTTCTTGAATTCTTTATATTTTTTGGAGATCAGCCCCCTGTCAAATGTGGGAATGGTGAAGATCTTTTCCCATTCTGTAGGCTACCATTCTGTCTTATTGACCATGTCCTTTGCCTTACAAATGCTTTTCAGTTTCAAGAGGTCCCATTTATTAATTGTTACTCTCAGTGCCTGTCCTATATTGAGGTGTTGTATTCAGGAAGTGGACTCTGTGCCTATGCACTTAAGGATACTTCTTATTTTCTCTTCTATCAGATTCAGTGTGACTGGATTTACATCAAGGTCTTTGATCCACTTGGACTTGAGTTTTGTGCATGGCGATGAATATGGATCTATTTACATTCTTTACATGCACACATTCAGTTATGCCAGCACCATTTGTTGAAGATGCTTTCTGCTTTTCATTGTACAGTTTTGGCTTCTTTGTCAAAAATCAGATGTTCATTGGTGAGGATTTATGTCAGGGTCTTGAATTTGATTCCATTGATCCACGTGTCAGTATTTATACCAACACCAAGCTGTTCTTATTACTATAGCTCTATAGTAGAGCTATATCAGGGATGGTGATGCCACTGTTCTTTTATTGTACAGGACTGTTTTAGCTACCCTGGGTTTTTTGTTTTGTTTTGTTTTGTTTTTCCATATGAAGTTGAATACTGTTCTTTTAAGGTCTGTGAAGAATTGTGTTGAGATTTTGATGGGGATTGCATTGAATCTATAGATTGCTTTTAGTAAGATTGACACTTTTACTATGTTAATCCTCCCTATCCATGAACATGGGAGATCTTTCCATTTTCTAATATCTTCTTCAATTTCTTTCTTTAAAGAAATGGCTTGGAGGGTTAAGAACCCTGGCTACTCTTCCAGAGGAACTGAGTTCAATGCTCCACCCCCACCCCGCCCGCTGCAACCAAATGGTGACTCACAAGCATCTGTAATGAAATCTGGTGCCTTCTTCTGGCATGCAGGCAGAACACTGCATGCATATCTTCTGAGTTTTAAGAAGCCTCTCTGTAGAACTTTCTGAGCTTCCCACCAGGGTGGAATGTTTCAGTTTAGAGGAAAGTGCTGCACCTCAAGCACATGGCACTCTTGGTGAAGTCATGGCAGTGGGAACACCAGGTAGCTGGTCACATTGCTTCTTTTGAAAAGGAGCAAAGAGGGGTGGAGGCTCACTTCCCCCTTTTTATTCATTCTGGGATCTCTGCCCATGGAATGGTTCCACTATATTCAGTATGGGTCTTCCCTACCAAAAAAACTAATAAAAAATAAAAACCTCTCAATAGATACACCCAGAGGTATGTATGTTTTGGGGGTGATTCAAAATCAACTCCTTCATGCTAATGGTGAAAATCAACCACCATCCTCAATAAATAAAATATCTGTGCTTCTTTTGTTCATGGAGGGTGTTACTTTGGAAATAATTCTAATGACACAATGTTTTCTTTATTTGCTATCCGTAATACCTATTTTTCCACTCCAATTTCTGGTTGAGTTTGTTATGGCTTTGTGCTCACCAATATACAAACCAATAGTATTTACTCCCATTAGTAAAAATCATTAAAGAAGTGTGAAATAAGTGGAGAAATGCTAGCAAATAGAATAAATATAATAAAAATATCAAATCACATCAACCCTTAGACTGAATGTGATTCTTATTTAATTTTCACATGTATGTGTGATGTGCTTATATGTATTTGTATTCACATGTTTGTGGGTGCATGGATGTGTGACTATAGAAGATTAGAAGCACACGTCTTCCTCTATGACCTTCTACTAAATATGAATCAGAATCTCTCACTGAACCCAAAACTTGCCGGCTAGTCTTGTCTAGCTATCCATCTTTCTCTCAGATACCTTGTGGCTGCTTTCCAGGATGCTGAGAATTAAAGGTGCGTTGCCAAACCACTTGATATTTACATACTGCTGGATACCCCAACTACTCCTCCTGCTCAGATAACCCACTAAGCTATGCTCATAGTCCCATGATTTCTACAAAGTTTCCTTTTTTAATGACATCTGAAAAGGAGACTCTAGTTTGCATTTTAAAAATGAAATACCAATACCTAATTTCCCTTCTGTCATGAACTAATTATCCCAGAGAAGTTGACAGTAGAGCAGAAGGAATAGACTCATGCAATTAGGTGTGGAAACCTAAACTACAGAACTGTCACTGTAGGGCTTAAAACAAAGGCGTCGGCCTCCAGAGATGGAGCAGTTCATTATTTTTTGGAAATCCAAATGCCATGACGACCCTATTGTGAAACACAGAGCTCTAAAGTTTAGGAGAGAACTCCAGGGAGATCTTTTAATATCTCATAAAGGGAGGGCATTGTGAGCAAGTCCCAAAACGCCACCGTAAAAGAACATTGATGAACTTTACACCATTAAAGGGGGAAGTTTTTGTTGGTCAGAAGACACCAGAAAGACTGAAAGGACATTGCTGGCCCAGAAGAACCTGTTCCCTGTGCAGGGCAGTGAGAAATGGGTCATCTACAGATCACAAGGACCACTTCTCAGGGTAAACGGGTTAACAGGAAAGTATCCTAAGAGAAAAATAACCTAGAAACTAGGGGATGATGTTAAAACAAACAATTCATTTGTTCATAAAGAAAATGACCCATGGCTTCTGCAAGATAAGGAGAAGAAAATTAATACTATACTATACTATACTGACATAGATATATAGGAGGATATAGAGAT